GTGTGTGTGTGTGTGTGTGTGTGTGTGTGTGTGTGTGTGTGTGTGTGTGTGTGCGCGCGCGCGCGCGTTTACACTGAGAGACGGAGTCAGACAGGCAGCTAGCCACATGAATGCCTGTTCTTTCAGGGGCACAGGCGGCTGTCTGAAGAAAAACAGACAGCTTTTGTATGAATCCCTGTCTTTTCTCATTTAAAGCAAATTAGAGTTCATTGGTGAAGAGAAATACAAGTGTGCCCTTCATTCTGGGGGGCATCAAAACCTGCTGCTTCTCGTCCTGTCTATGGCATTTTAGTATAATTGCAGTCATTACGTTAGTGTTCCCTTGTTTTGTCTTGAGTGATGACTACTGATCAGATTGTGAAAATTATAGAGCGTAAGACTTTCTCCACATGATTTGTAAATACAAATTTCATAATTCTTTGTGATTAAGTGTTAGTTACACATCTGTGCATGTATTGTGTAAAGAAGAGCAGATATTTACTTTGTTGTGTTTTACCGATATTTAAAGGTGTATTGCTGATATATTTTTTCACACATAGCTCTTGAATTAACTGCAGTGTTTGAATTGCAATTTTCCAATAAAACCTTGTTTGTTTGCATTTAGGTTACAAATATGGTGAGTATTTTGTTTTCTGCTTGTGACACCGTGTCTGCTTCAGTTAGGACCTGCCTTGCCCTTCAGCTTCTAGTTTTGCATTTCCGCTCCTGCCACAGTAACACAACACCGGCTGGCAGTGTTCATTGGTGTCCGTGTGTCATCATGCTACGAGCATACTGTAGCTTGACTCTGCTCCGTCAGCATGTACTGCCAGCATGCTTACCTGTAGCTTCTGCCACCAGTGAGTCTGCATGGGTTTGCCAGTGTGTATGGGTGCAGTCTGCTGCAGTATGAGACGTTTAGCATTATTTGATGAAAACACTTCGGCCAAAGTATCGGAAAGTATGTAGTATGTAATACAGGTTTTCCCTGTATTTCACAATAAAATCCCTATAATTTCAAAAAACTCTTTTACAAAGATTAAACAAAAGGAACTGACTAGAGTTGTGAAAAAAACAACAAACAACAAAAAAAAAAACTATTAACCAAGTGGGATTTGTGTCCTTCAGTTTTAGTTGAAAAATTCTTTGTGTTTAGACGTGATGTGTTTTGACATGCACACAAATGCAGCCTTGATGGAAAGCACTTCTGAATGAGTTTTTAAAAAACTAGATTAGTCAACAGGCAAACTTTCATTTAAGTGCATACCACTGCTAGCTACGGTATATTGGAATTCAGTCAGCACATAACTTTAAAAAAATAATGAAATAAAGCCTGCATGTAGCATAGAAATGCCAGTGCTGCTTCTTTTAACCTGCTTGCTTTTCGCTGTTGTGAGAGAGGTCAGCCGTGCTTTCAGTGTGTTGTTTAGAGTCTCGTTTGTGCTACCTCTGCAACACACCCCTCCTCTCCCTTCTGTGCGAGTGCTAAGCCTTTTGTGACTGCTGTTAAAGGACCAAGCCGTGAAGGACAAAGCCCTCCAGAGCATGGCCTCCATGTCCTCGGCTCAGATCGTCTCTGCCACGGCTATTCACAACAAGCTCGGCCTGCCAGGCATCCCTCGCCCAGCCTTCCCTGGAGCAGGGGTAAGAGCCTTGCCGGCACCCCGCTATTGATCCATCCTGTCCAGCTTCACCCAGGGCACCGATAGGGCCCACCACACCAAAAACCCAGGCCAAATCACATTACACACCACAGCTTTGCACAACTGCCCCTATCAGATAAGCACATGATCAAAAGGAGTGGTAGTCAAGATAACTACATACACTGAACATGGAGCTCAGAGCCATTCTGATCTTGTCACTAACAGCTGCTCACAATTGGATGTTCTTTGTTGCTTGTTCTTTCTTGTCTATTTATACATCTAATTCTGTAGTTATGGCAGGGTATGATTTCGGCTGGTCAGCCAGGATCATCGCAAGAGTAAGTTTTAAACCTTGAACCAACTTTTTCAGGAAATAAATAAATGCTCTTTAAACAAAAAGGAAACCATTTTTTGCCTAATGACTGTTGGTTTTTTTGTTCCAGTATTAAGCCTTTCACCCAGCAACCCTATCCCATCCAGCCAGCAGTCACGACAGCAATTTCAAGTGAGACTTTACCTAATTATAAAACATGCAACATTCAAAGATGAACTTTGTAACTTGTTTTTCAAATGTCTTTTCAGATATCTCGACCCTAAGTTCTTAATCCAATAAAAATGTAATATCTGTGGTACACTGTCATTATTTCTGTTTTGAAATATTTTGAAATATCTTTTAAATTCACCACAGAATTTTTTTTTTTGTCTATAAAAAAAGTTAAATTGGGAGATGTCTCCTTAGAGATGAATGAAATATTATAGAGCATGCATTTCCTTCCAAATCAAGCACGTCAGATTTCTGTGAATCTGCACTAAGATATTAAATTAATTTTCTTGTCATAAACAAACCTGATGAAATGAGGTTAATGTGAACTAGTGTTTCAGAAAGAACATGCACATGCTCTGCTGGGAAAACAACCAGCAGAACAGATGAATATTTTGTTGTTCTGGTGTTTCTGCAGGTTTCGAGCCCACAGCAGCTCCAGCACCCACGGCGCCAGCATGGCAGGGCCGCTCCATCGGTACATCTAAACTCAGACTGGTGGAGTTCTCTGCCTTCCTAGAGCAGCAGAGAGACCCAGACTCTGTGAGTGAAAGCATTATACCAAAGCATGAAATTTCACTATCTCTTGGTGTTCATTCCCACCTCTTATCACCCAGTCCTTTCCTCTATGAATACACTGGGACATTTTCCCAGGCAGAGAGTCAGCTGAGAAGAGGCCAAAACAAGCTGAGAGGGGCAAAAGGCTGGCTTGATGCAAGGCACGGAGACCTGCAGAAATAATGAATGAATGCATATTAATCAGTTCCTTGTATGTTTTGATTTCTTTAACAATATGTTTGTTTTTCATTTTAGTGAATAGTCTTTTGCATTGATAACACAGGAACAGCCTTTAATCTTAAATGCAACTTGAGGCTTAAAAATATTGCATTTGCACTCGGGGCTGTGTGCCGGAGACGCCATTCTGTGAGCTTTTACACTGAAGTGCAGCAGAGTTTCAGACGGTCACAAAGAGGGCAACAAACCTTTGAAAACAAAATGTTTTTTCTGTGATTCGCTGCTCCTCTTTCATCTACTTTTGGCTCTCCATCACAGGTTTGAGGTTTAACTGGCCCTAATTTTTATTCACATTGTCAAACCAAATTCAGATATTTTCATTTAAAAGTTTAAAAAATTGACCAAATCAAATAGGGAAGAAATGACCAAAGCACTTTTGTTTTGTATTATCATTTTAACTTGGCTGAGGTAGAAACATTTTTAGATTTTCATGTGAGGAAAGGTGGTAAGATTGTCTACGAAAAATGTTTTTGTTTAGAAAATACATCATTTTGCACAGTTGCTCAATCATAATTTGTGGCTGAAGCAGCTTTGTTTAATACAAATGAGGGGATCAGTTTATTTTGAGGGTTAGTGAAACATAAATGTTATTTCCTCATTTGTATATCATAAAACAGGAAAGTTGCTCAAAACTATTTCGAGTGACTAATAAAAAAGCGATGTTGCAGAGAGTTGTTTCTCATCCCAGTGCATTATCAGTCTAATCCTGGCTACCACTTGCTTATTGCGGTGATTACTTCAGGACTGGCACATCAGATCTGGCTTATTTTGCTTCAGTAAACTCTTCTGTGCTGATGACTTTGTGAATATTGATACGCGCTCCTTTTGCATGGGTTTTTTCGCACGCTATTATTGAGTTCACGCTGCAAAACAAAAGAATCCGGCTTTAAATAGTTTCATCTTTTTTATTTTTTAATACAAGTTTCCATCTGTATTCATTTTTCATTTTACTCTTGCAGTACAACAAACACCTGTTTGTGCACATCGGGCAGACGAATCATTCCTACAGTGACGCCCTGCTGGAGTCGGTGGACATTCGTCAGATCTACGATAAATTTCCAGAAAAGAAAGGCGGACTGAAGGATCTGTATGCAAAAGGCCCCCAGAATTCCTTCTTCCTTATAAAATTCTGGGTGAGTGTAATTTATAAGCAATGCTGATGAGAAGATGAGTATCTGATAAAAAAAAATGCTTTGTTGCAGCTTGATTAGGCTCTCCATACATAAGTATTAATTTCACTGTAACCTTTTGCGCATTGTGAAAAATTTGATCAAACAATCCTGTTTAGTAACAGTGTGTTCTGCTTCGTGCTTAGTGATTGGGTGTAATCAGTCTACACAGAGAAGATTGCTCTCAATGTTTGCAGAATGCACTCTGCTATATTTGGACTTGCATAGCAGGAGAGCTTTTGATCAAAGCACCCACTAATTCAGTGTAATATCTCCAAACAATGGAGTGACCTGGTTGTGCTCCTAATGGCTGTTTAAACATTGCATGCATTTCCTCCCTGATGCAAAATGCTAACTAGCGGCAGCAAACAAAGTAGGGCCGTATGCACTTGGACCAAGTCCCCTCAAATTCCTTTTGAAGTGACCGACAAATTTAAATTTCAAATGAAAGGCAGAATCTGCACAATAATGAATGTATAACTGCTTTGCTTAATGAAGGAGGAGAATGTTGTAGGAGGACGTCTCCCTTTTTTGTGTCCGTAATGAACAGGATGTTCAGGGCACAGAGAGGCTGCCCTCCAGGAGCAGACCCGCTCAACCTTGTAAATCAGTCTTTTAACGTAACTTCATTTAATCCTCTTTAGAATCTTTCTTCCAATATGGGCACATTAACATGCTTATTCAGATGTGGCCGGGATCTTCTCATTTTTTATGCGATATGCACGGCTGGGCTCAGCAGCCCTGATCAGACAGATGTTTGCCGTTTCAGAAAGCTACATGACCGACTGTGCACATCTTACAGTATAAAATGATGTCAAAATGTTTGAATTAATATCTGAACACCATCATAATATTTCTAGTAATGGTTAAAGAGATGTTTTTATTCAAGTGTCAAATACAGAGTGGCGTGGTGGTGCCGTTGGGGAAGCACTGTTGCCTCACAACACAAAGGTCCTGAGTTTGAATCCATTGGCCAGCTGTGTAGAGTGTGCATGTTCTCTTTGGGTAATCCAGCCTCTCCCCACAGTCCAAAGACATGCGTGTTGCGTTAATTAATTAATCTAAATTGGCTCCATGTGCGAATGGTTGCCCCCCCCCCCCCCAAAGACCCTGAATTGGAAAATCATAAGGAAATGGATGGATGTAAAGATAAACCTATGGATAAAAATCATCTGTGTCTCTTATGAGATATTTATCAGCAGCTGGTAAACATATTCAATCGTCTTGTAACAAAAAAGCTAAATACTTCTTTCAGCAGTTGGTAGAGACCAAAAATGGAGCTAAAAGCACAAATGTTGGACCCCTCTTCTCATTTTCTCGTGTGTGCAGTCAGGGTAAGAGGGAAGAAGAAAAGACGAGGCACTTAACAAAATGAGACATTCTGGTTTCTGGGCAGTCGATTGAATGTGCATGTTGAGAATGCACAATGGAGAAAAACACGAAGAGCTTTCTGCTTCTCTCTAACTCCTGGAAGTGGTGTATGTAAAAAAAAAAAAAAAAAAAAGTAATTATTGAATTGTAATCCACTTTTTTACTGCTTAAGAAGAGCAGTTATAGTTTAAATCCAGATAACTTAACATATTTAAAATGTATTATTATATTTTTTTATTGTTGTTATTATTTTAATTTAATTTTCCCAGTGATGCAAGTAGTTTTTATTTCATTCACCTCTGAATAGTTCTTCCATTTCTTATGTCCATGTCGTCCTGGAGTACAGCGCTCTTTATTTTGTCACTGAAGCGCTCCAAACACGTACTTTATTATCTTTAGTTCTAAATGGTAACCTATTTAGAATTGGTATGTGTTTGGCATGCTCACATGAGTCCTTGAACCACATCTCTAATACAGTTAATAATTTCACAGAAATGCCAAAACTGGCTTTAAGATTACTTGGGAACATGGTCATCTTTAAAGTGGCATTTTTCAATTTCATATGCACCATCTTGGCTTTTAATCCTTTAAAATGAAAAAGGTATTGGTAAAAAAAAATGTTTTTAAAATCTTATAGGTGTGTTTTATTTTTATTTTAATAGTATTTAGAGATCCAGTATTTTTAAACTACTAAACTTTCCATTTTGGTATTAAAATGTCATTAAATGGCACAATTCTTTAAGGGTGTGGATGCATTAAATATTTTAATGTTTGTTCCTTTTCCCTATTGATTTTGATCGGGGCACAAACACAGTTGCCTTCTTCTAAATGTTGCTTCTTTAATCTTATGAAAAAGCAGCAACCCTTTGGACTTTCTGTCAGTACAAGTATTCTTCCAAGCCTTTCATTTCAGTAGAAAACACATTTAAAACTGTTCATCTCTTTTCTTTTAAATGACTTGTACAAAAAGACATTGTAACAAAAAGAAAATGTTCTCTGAAGCTCAGTGTTTGTTGTTTTTCTTTGCCTCAGGCTGACTTAAACTGCAACATTCAAGATGATACCGGATCTTTCTATGGCGTCACCAGTCAGTATGAGAGTCCAGAGAACATGACCATCACATGTTCGACAAAAGTTTGCTCCTTTGGCAAGCAGGTTGTGGAGAAAGTCGAGGTATGAACTAAAATGAGAAGCAGGACTTTTTTACTGTACCTCCTGGGGTTTGTTTGTGTGTTTTACATTTCTTATGTGCGCTGCTTGTTCTTCTTTCCCCTCAGACTGAATATGCACGCTTTGAAAATGGACGTTTTGTCTACCGGATAAGTCGATCCCCCATGTGTGAATACATGATCAACTTCATCCATAAGCTAAAACATCTGCCGGAGAAGTATATGATGAACAGTGTGCTGGAGAACTTCACTATCTTATTGGTAATCACCTCACTGACCTGAGTGGGCGACGTCCCTCTCTGGGAGTGTTTTTCTCGCTGCTGTCAGGATGTGCTGGTGGCTCCAGCTGGCTTTAAAAAAAATCTGAGTGGGGGCGGTGGGGGGACTTCACTGGGCCTTGAGATGTGTTCCTCTGCCTGGATTCACATTCCTCTCATTCCACAGGGGATGAAACACAGTGTGAGGACCCTCATTATCTGCAGGGGAAAGGGAGGATAAGAGAGGGCAGGAAACCCTGTTATTGGCATCACATGGGGTCTTAAAGTGTCATTCACCACTGCAGAGAAAGCACCCAGGCCAAGGGGTGGGCAAGCAGCCCCCCTCCCCCAAAACACCCATCTTAGTGTGTTAATCATTAAATAAACTCATGAGTCATGTCAGACTTAATACATGATTATTTTTAAAAGTGCGGCGGTTCTTTTAAGACATATAAGTAGCACAAGACTGGAAGAAGGATCCGAAAATATGTTTCACAGATTGATATAATTTTCTAAGCACATTTGTCTCTTCTGCTTCTTGCTGAATCCTAATGTTGTGTTTTCATTTCTCAGATTTTTCCATTGTGCCCAGTATGAATACAAAGTAACCCTAATAGAGGGAAAATGGTAGCTGCAGCAAATTTTGTGTATTTCTCCCTAAAACATAGGGTTAGTTGGTTTCTTGTTCCATTTTGGCCTGTGCAGAACAAGGGATGGCTCAACACTATGCTCAGGTTTTACTGAAACATGATGTTTCAATTTATGCTACTAGATATTATTAAATTCTGCTCTGCACATTTTCCCCCTTAAATAACATGTTTATATTCAAAGATTAGTTGATATCAGGAATCAAGGTCCAAGAGTTTGGTGTATAAAGTATGCCTGTGCACAAAAGACGTGCATAAATGAATTCCCTTTCATAAGCTGGTATTTAAAGAATGTAGCGTATGTGCTGAGGCATCCAAAGTTCCCTCCATTTCAACGCCAGTTGTAGAAAGTTTTCTGTACAGTAAGATGGAAATGGAAAAACGTGAGAGACATCATGAAACATTACTTGTTAGTCAATTTCTGTCAGAATTTTTCAACTCTGCTTTAATGTTTTGTTTTTTGTTTTTTTTTTGATGATGATAAAGACGAGGATGCTCTGAAATCACTCTCTCTATATTTGATTGGACCCACCTGTAGGTTTGGTGATTCGACACATTTACCTCCTTATGCAAAGCCTATGTAGTGTCATGCCATTTATTTCCATGCAGAATTGCATTCGTCCTTCCAGGTCTTGTACTGATGACGGAAGAATTGGTTCTCTGTGAAAAGTCTCCTCCCAGTATGTGCACAAAGATTCTCAACGGGTTCGAGGTCTGGGCTCTGTGGCGGTCCGATCCATGTGTGAAAATCATGTCTAATGTTCCCTGAACCACTTTGTTCACAATTTGAGCCCGATGTTATTGTTATCTTGGAATGTGACCTTTCCAACTGGGAAGTGGTTTTAAACATACAGTAGCTGTGAAGTCTACTGTTGATTTATATTTTTTTTTAATCATTTCATGTCACCAAACATGTAAATGATCTCTGATCATTCAAGATATTTTTTTCCAGCCACATTTCCTCCTCAGAGATGATTGTTCCCCACTGTTGCCCTTCCAGGTTTTAATCGTGCTTATACTAAATTTAAGAAGTAACAGCAATCTCCTCAGTGGTTTTGCTTGATTCAGCTCAGTCATTCGACCCTTCTGAAAGGCAGTAACATCTTTTTGCTGATCACTTAATATCTTTTCCAGTATGATTGTTTAAGAAGTGAGAAGCTGTTCACTGCATCAGACTTAAATAATCTGCTCCCAGCTGAAACATATTAATCACTGCAGTAATTATCCAATGGATACTTTGAAGGCTTTTTTTTTGCATTCGTTGGCTTGACAAAACCTAAAACTATAATCGGAGATGAAGTTGGTTCCATGCATCATATGACTTTTCAACCCAAAATGATTCCTATGAGTTACAGTGAGACATTAACAGATGATGATCCTGATAAAATGGCGATAAAAATCTATAAATAACAGTAAAATCCAGCACAGCTGCCAATGAGACAAAAAAAATGAACGCTGCTAAAATCATTCATCTTGGGATTTAGCATAGAGAGCGGTAGAATAAACATTTTAATTCGAGTTGATTATTTTTGTTGCTGAGTGTGCGCTCTCAGTGATGCTGTTTATTTGTAAGGTGACAGCTTCACATTAGAGCTCTGAAACTTCAGACTGGATCAAATTAAAGACGAAAGGTTACTTTGGGAAAAAACAAAACAAAAACACAACTCACTTTCCCACAGCCTAACAAACAGGAGTTAACAAGTTGTATATATAAAACACATTCCCTTGATAGAGAGTCTAAATTGCACTTAAAACCTGTAAATAAAAGAGTAAAAAATGTGGCTCTCCTGGCCAATTTTAAACTGGTACCGAACATTTAACCGTGCGCGCACACACAGCTTCAGAACTCTAACAATGCATGCGTCTGTCTTTTCGCTCAGTTTCCCGTCCACGTCTTCAAACTCAGTAACCATCCTTTGCTGCATCCATTTCTCTGTTTATTTCCCGCTGTGCTGCGCTTCTCCTCTAAAGTAAGTGCTCTCTCTTGCAGGTGGTGACAAACAGGGACACCCAGGAGACGTTGCTATGTATGGCGTGCGTGTTTGAAGTTTCGAACAGTGAGCACGGCGCGCAGCATCACATCTACAGACTGGTGAAGGAATGAATCCGCTTGGAGCTCCTCCTTTTCATAGACTTACCAACCTCAAAACAAAAGTGGCAGTGCCTCTACACGAAAGTCATACCTACAACGCTCTTTGGTCAAGGTATCGGGTGGAGTCGTTGTTATAAATCTGTTTTAATATAAGTGTTTGTTATTTGACTGCAGCTGTGAATTGCGGTACAGTTGTTTTAATGTTTGAATATGGGAATTTTAAATATGTTGGTCTCTGTCGGGTATAAATGTGGCCATCCTTAAAGAGTTTCCTGGATGTGTTTGGTAAATGAAAATGTGTGTGTCGTTTTTTTCTGCTTTGTTAATGTAGACTAAGGAAAAAAAAAAAGACAAAAGGACACGGGCCTTTTTTTGTTTTTCTATCAGCGGCATGGTTGCGGTCTGTGTAATATGTTTGAGGCTGTTTTGTATGTCTGTACTTCATGATTTGTGAGCATACATACTGTAGATACGCAGACATGAAAACACACACAGCTGTTAAACTTTCCAAAGAAACAGAACAACACTATACGTGTAGTGGCCGAAAGCAGGTGGTTGCGAAATTACTACATAAGAACGCCAAGAACTGAGCTTTCGGTAATATTTATCCCTGTTGAAGCACTCCCAAGTTTTAGACACCAGAATGAACGCACTGTGAAAACACTACAGTTTGCCTGCATCCGCTCCGTAAATGTAGGAAGTCTCACCGCCTGCTAAGCATTTCAGCGCTGCAATCAAATCTTTTCTCTGACAATGGCCATGAGAATTTTTTTATTTTATTTTTTTAAAATATGTGAGTCCTGCTAAAATGACTCTAATTGGACTCGTATCTGGTCAGAAAGCACTTTGTTTCCCTTCCTGTGCTTGCCTTAGTGATGCTTGCGTCTATTCTGTTAATTCTGCGCTTTAAAAAAAGAAAAACTAAAAAACTGTTTAACCTATCGAGACACTACAAAATCATAGACAGCAATGCGTCGTTCAGCATGCTGTGGCTTTGCCCCCCACCCAACACTCTGGGATCGCCGTGTGATAACTCCAAGCCAGAGTGTTGCTGCCTTCATGGTCACACTATGTTCACATGTTTCTGTGGCCTACGCTGATTGCCGAGCCTTAAACACGTACAAACTGTATGTGAACTCCAAAAGATGCCACTAAAACTGTGATCTCTACATTGTGTTTGTGTTGTGTAAAATAAATGAATGACAACAACAACAACAAAAAAAATCACAATTCAAATCTGCCAAAGCCTAAGTGTACAGTGCCTTAGAGTATACTCATTATCCTGCATTTACCCTGTTTTCTAAGTCTAAAATTAGTTTTGTGTGAGACGGGCAGAAATAACTTACAGATGTATTATTTGGTTCATCTTCACATCTCAGAAATCACGGTTCTCGAAATTGGTACACTCCTAGAAATACAGTTTTTGTTGTTGCTGGGGGTTTTTTGGGGTTTTTTTTTTTTTTTTTAAAGAGGCAGTACACTTATATTCAATTATGTTTGCAAATTTAAGCTCAGAAACAGGTTATTTTTCCTGTAACGCTGTAATATGTTCCTAAAATATCAGCCTTTCTTTTTTTCCTTCCTTCTCTAAGAGTGTACTATAAAAAGACTGACTGCCTTTCCTGTCGCAGAAGACCAAAAATACAGAGATGCAGTCAATTATTGTTGTGTCCTGCATGGTAGCAAGGAAGTGCCTTTGGTTCAGATTTTCCAGCTTAAAAAAAAAGATCAAACAGAAATTATAAATTTAATGTTGCCAGACCAAAAAAAGAAGAAGAAGAAGAAGAAAAAAAAATAAGACATAAGTGAAACAAATCACCACATTGCCTTTCAAAGGACTGTAATGACAGCAGGGGAACATGGTTACTAAGGAGAAGAAATAAATGATATTCATTTTTATTACATTGTAAATTGATTTCTCAAACCCAACTATTTCTTCGCTTAAGGTTAAAGATTTTGTCTAATATTGAACGGCCACTGACTGCATGCAGGATGTCAACAGAAAAACACTGAAGCTGTCTGCTTCGTGCACACTTGCAGGCTCAAGTGTTTTTGTTTTTGTTTTTTGTTAGTTTTTTTTTTGAAACAAGGCTTTTTTTGGAAGCATTATGGTTTCACAATGTCACAGCTGTGATGGCGAAAAGGCAGGGACCGACACGAGCTTTTATCCATTAGAACAAAAAAGAAAAAATAATGTTTATTTAATATTAATTCTACAGTACAGACTCTAAAAATGAAACTTAAGATTGTTTTACGTGTTTAAATCTGTATACTTTCATTGTAAGGATCATAATTACTCAAAACATTTACTATTTCTTACAGAAATTATAATCATCTTAAAGTAGTTTAATCAACAAAGCTCTAAATAATTGCAGACAATGTCTTGGGGTGGGGGTGGGGGGGGGTGCAGATAAAGTTAAATGATTCAGTATTTTTGCCGCAGTTCTGTGAACACTGTGGACTTTATTTTTCTTTTATGCTTACCTTGTGTATCTGTTCACATTTATCGATTACAGTTAGATGTTCCTGTTTTCTTATTGTACTTGTATACAGTCGTACCCGGTTTTGTGATGACATTATCTGTAATATTGCGAGCCCAGTGAGATGGTAATGATGTTACTGCTGCACTGCTGGTACATTTTTACATTTTAACACTAAAACAGCAGGACTGACGCCTTTGATGGCACGGATGTCTGGTGGACTCTTTGCCCCGGAAAGTGGACGCGCCAAGTCAAGGAATCGCAGCTACAAGCATATCAGCTTTTGCTAAGAGTAGGTACTGGTACCTGGCTTTAAAGTGATTCTTGACATATAGCTCATGAAATGTAAACTGTCATTTACATATTTGGGTTTTGTGTGCAGATTTTTTTCAGCACCCCCTTAGTAAAAAGGTGCTTTCTATAAAATTATATCTTGGCTTTTCTTGGTACAGATGTGTGATCTCTTTTCATATCCATCACTGTAAAGTGTTGGAGCAAAGGAGAGAAAAGAAGCTCTGCTCTGTTTGTGTTCTGCATATGGTCTTGTCTTTGCTCCGTAACATTATGATGCCTTCTTGACAATAGTAGATATTTTGTAGCTTTCTAGATACTTTGTATGTACGCAATATTGAAGTTAAATAAATCTGAAAAAGATTGCTTCCTTTTATTTTTCTCACTTGAATCTTTGCTGTGTGGATGGGTCTGTTAACTCCTTGACTGCAAAAGCCTCACATCAACAGTAGATGGAGCATGTGAGAGAACATAATTGAATGTGCATCGCTGTAATGGCAGGACTCGCCACAAGAGGGAGACACCATTTAATCAAAGTGCTACAGATTTCTGTTTTCTTGCTCAACCTTTTTAAATCAGAGGTTCTCAAGCTATTTCCAGCACGCCAGCTTCAGAAACCAATTACAGTTCAGCCCCACTCCCCACAAACTGTCAACACACAACAATGTAAATAAAAAGGATTCAGATTTCTGCATTAGTAAAGTGCGTTTTGTTTATTTTCCCTCCAAAAATCATATTTATTCGTCCATCCATATTTTCCCCTGGTTTCCTGGCTGGCCTTTAGTGGTTCTGTACCCAGCAGTGATGACCCCTCAGTCAGAAAAGCACTATTTCAGTAACCAGTCTTTATATTATTACTAACACAAACCAAAACGTTTTGAATGTTGCACCTGAGATGGAGGGGCTCAAATAAGGTGCTGCTATAAATCCTACACGTGGAAACCAACCAACTACTGCTGAACAGCTGAATAAAGATTAGTGCTCCTTAAGAGAGGCTCAATAAAACTAGTAGTTTAAGTGTGTAAAGTAATACACCTCTACATGGGAGCTTTACACTTTTGTACTACTTAAATGTCACCTGAGTGATGCACATGTTTTTGTTTCCATTTGATTGGTACAATAATAACATGATGAATCAGTTCTCATGGGTTTGACTCAAGTGAAATTTATCTTTATGTGAAGGTAATCTTTCCTGATATGTGGACTGGAACTAATTTGGGGGACTGCATGCTGGTAAGTATGTATATGACTTTGCATTGTAATGTGGAAAGTAAAATTTCCACCCACTAACACACAAACATCCTAATCCATCAAGACCAGGCACATGCTGTCACATGAGCACTAGCAAACCAGCAAAGCTAGAGGTAAATACATCTGTCAGAGATCTCCTGACAGAATAGCTGAATACTCATTTATTCTCTTTCTTTGTAAAGTCCCTGAGTTCAAGACTGAGCAAGGCTAATACTTGAAAGCAGTGAATCAGAAGAATAAGCATAACGAAGGAAAAGCTAACAGGGTCAACATTATGAATTCAAGTAAAGCAACTGAAGTGTTCCATATCTATGCTCCCTGTTTCTGCCTTCCTACCTTTTTCCTCTTGTTTCACTTATGTGTTTGACATGTGAGTACAGTTCACAGAATTGTGATATGTGGCTCTATCAGATGAAAGATGACTATAATTAGAAGTAAGATATTGAAAGTACTGACACTTAAGAAGCAGGAAATAAACTGAATTTAATCCTTGAAGAAGAAAATACCCCTCAGAAAACCTGCAGGTAAAACTTATTCTTTCAGGTGTTACACAAAATACATAAATTATGCACAAGGTCATTGTAGAAAAGCGCTATATAAGAATCAGTCCATTACCATGATTAGATGCCTTAGAATCCTCAAAGCCTGTTGAAGCCAGTTAGTGAAATTTTCTTTCAGCTCCAATATTTATTTATTCATGTTTTTTGTCTTTTAACGCTGTTTTAACTGGATCTACAGAAAAAGTTAACAACATAACCTTAATAATGAACCAGATCTGAAATACAAAGTCATTAAAAAAATAAGATAAAAACATAATCCATATAAAGTACTCATTCCTATATATGTAGGTACTCATGTCCTATTTGATGCATTATGGATACAGAAACCAGAAGAACACAGCGAGCCTCCAAGCTGCTCCATCAAAGAATTCATGGCTGGTCGTTGTTCTTAAAAGCATCGAGGCTCAGGTGGAGCTCATCCCACCAAAAAAAGGTGTGTGTGTGTGTGTGTGTGTGTGTGTGTGTGTGTGTGTGTGTGTGTGTGTGTGTGTGTGTGTGT